CGGGCCTGTGCCGGGGCTCTGGCGGTGATTAGCAGCCGGGGCTGCTCCGGCCAGCGGGAGCTCTGAGCGCTGCTCGCTGCTGCTGCTGCTGCTGCCCGGGGACAAAGGGGGAAGCGGCTGAACACGGGGTTCGCCGTTTGTCTGGAGCTCCTGGGCGAGCTCGGCAGCATGAACAGAGCCGCTGGTTTGCTGGCCTCCTCCAGGATGGCAGCTCAGGGCAAGCGGCTGCATTCATCTCTTGAGTGCTGCAGCAGCCAGTGCTGCTTTTCCCAGGACTGGGGTTGCTTTAGCCGTGCACAGTGCAGCTGTGCTGCCTCTCTGTACCACAGAAAAGTTTGGGAGAGAGAAACAGCTCCTGAATATGTTTGGCTAAAGAGCTGCAGGTGGGCAATAGTGATTCCCCTGTAAGTAATGGTTTGGAAATAATTCTGCCTGCTAGCAACGTGCTGGATTTAAGGGCACAATTGAGATAAGGGATGGGGGTGGAAAGTGTTTGCCCTTATTTTTATGCTAATAGTCATGATGCATGGCAGGACTAAATGACTTATTTTAGCCATGTTTGTGGGCTCAGTGAGTCTTAGACTGCACAGAGGAATGAACCTCCATTGTCTGGGAGGTCTAGATCAGAATCTTAAGCAAACAAACCAGACTGTACTGGAAAGGCATGTGCTGAAGCTCTCCACTGGCTGAGCACTGCATCCTTGTGGCTTTCAACACCTGTGGGCTGCTGCTATCAATATGGGAGGCAGCAGAGACCTCTAAGCTCTCACCCAGTCTGTTCAGGGCTGGAGGAAACCTGCTCTGCCCATCACCAGGAGCAGCCTAAAGAGTGCAGGGGCTGAAGAGTGTGGAAGTAGTCCATGTGGCAAAGGATTTATCAGCCTCGTTTCTGCTTCTGCTTAGTGTGTCTCCCAAAGGCCATTGCTTGAGTCAAAATGCCCATGTATTGAGAAACTACAACTTTCACTGCCTGCTGTTTTTGTTAGAAATAAATACAAGTACTTGGCTAGGCTGGTGTGGTGGGAGAAGAGGGGTTCAGCTTCATTCAGCATCTTTGCCCTGCGTGTGTGTGGATCTGGGGAACAGAGCAGGTGTTTGGTGGGACGTGGGCAAGGGAGACACCTGAGTGTTACTGCTTGGGGACCTCAGTGTCAGGAGTGACTACAGAACTGCCCTTGCAGCTCACTGGGAGTTCTTTTCAGTGAGGAAACCACTAACCTGCCCCATGGTCCAGCTGCTTCTCCAGCTGGGGATGGCACATGGTGGTCCCTGTGGTCCTGGTGCTTTCTTTTGCAAGGAGGGAATGACAGATCAAAGATGGCTTGCCTGCACCCTGTCTGCAACTGAGACAGGCAGCGTGGAAGTTGAGACTCTGATTTTGTATCTCTCTCCTTTCCTTTCATGTCTCCTCCCTCCTTTGAAGTGGGACACCAAGATACCTTTGAATGAGTTCATGTTCATGTTGGAATTCTGAAATTTCCAACCTGGTGTTCCTGATTCAGTGCTAACCTACCTGTTCCAGCAGGTACCCAGGGGGCCAATAATTATTTTCCTAAGTGTGAGGAGTTCCCCAGGTCTGGCTAAAGGGAATGGGTACATCACTGTCACTAAGCATGCTTAGTCAAAACAGTAAGAAAAATTGGTCTTAAATATGCCAAATTCAGTATAGTAGTATTTGTAGAGAACAGCTATTATTTTTGTATATTTGACAAAAGTTAATTGTCTCTGTGACAATCAGGGTAGTAGTCAGCCTGTCCCTGTAAAGGAGGGGAAAAAATTCTTCATTTATAAGCGATTCATTAAGTAGCATTAAAGCTGTCTCTGAAGACAAAATAATCTTTTTAAAGAGGACTCAAGGTAGCGAGAAGGAAGATTAATGCCTCAGCTATTTTTCAATTATGTAAGCTTCCATTTATTACAATATACCTGGATTAACTCTTACTAAGCTGTGTGCCCTGGTAGGTAGGGTTGTGAAACGGGGGTGTTTTGCTCAGGGAGGGATGAGAGGTGCTCTGCACAGGGCTGCTGTGAGAGGCATGGCAGGAGGGTGCCAGGCACTGCCCCTCCCAGCCTCCCTGTCAGCAAAGCTGTGACAATTTTGCACATGCAGTGTGCATTTATGGCGCTGGAATATTTTGCACTGATTACATTCACTTGGTCTTCCTGTCTGCATGCATGTACCTACTCTCCCTGGTGTAGTTCAGGTACTGAAGGGTTCTGGTTTCTGGCCCTAATTCAGGTGCCTTCTCCTGTGATCATGTGCATGATCCTTTCAAATGAGCCTAAATTCTTCTAACACACTGGGGATACTCTTATTTCAGCGTGATTTATGTCAGCAATTCTGGTAAAGTGTAATTAAAAAGGTCTCATTGATACCTCTACTTTAATTTTTTTTCCCTTGCCACTGCTTCCTAGAGTGCTTGCCTTGTCTTAATTGAAGCAGTGAAGAGTCCATTTAGCAGGAAGGTGGGAGGAAACAGCCTGAAGATCATTCATCTAAATCACTCCAGTGATGAAAACAGTTGCTCACTACATCTATCATAATTTCTTCTAAGTTTCTTATAGAAGATTAGTTGCTGCAGCTATGCAGATGCACACATGCCTGGTAGAGCTCTGCAGACCTTCCTGTCTAGGGCAGTCACTCCAGGCTGTGGAAAAAGAGCTGCTTTTTGCAGGTATAAATTACACACCAAAAAAAGTGTGCAGATTAAAAACCCTTTTTATGTTTTTCCAGTTGCATTTGTTTAATGAAATGTTACACCCCCTTTACCTCGCACTGCTCTGTGAACCAGGTTTTTTTAAGTGTGAGGCTAAAATCTTTTTTGGGTAGCTTTGGTGCTTTTGCCAAGACACTTTTATGTAAAGTTCAGGTCCTTTGAAGTCATATCCTTGTTCTCCACAGCTGAAACGCTCCTGAGAGCATCTTATAAATGGTGCAAAACTGACAGAGAAGAGCAGAGTGAAGGTGAAAGGGGCTGAAAGGATATGTCCATGAGAGTTCACCTTACTCCTGTCTGCAGGTATGTCCTGAACAGAGCAGCTGAAAGTCCATGAACAAAACTATTTGATTTACACGGAAAAAATATTTTCAAAACTATGCAGAATGTCAAAAGGAAGCCAAAAGAAGCTACATATCAAGCCAAACTGCTGTCTTTAACAACTCAAGGATTTTGATAGCTCTGACCCTGGGCCACCAGGCCAGACCCTGTTTGCTGCTGGTCTCTGCTGTGCCTTGTGCTGCTTGCACTCTGCTGGCAGGGAATGAGCCACCAAAGGCTTTGCTTTTGCTTTGTTATTGACTCACTCGACCAGGCAGCAATAAAACCCCCATGGTGGGTTGTGACACAACCTTAATGTTTGCTTGGATACTTTGACCTGCACACAGAGGGGTGGCTTTGGACAGGAGCAGGAGGTGGTGCTGGACAGACTGAGCATGGACCTGCCCTCTGTCCTGCCCATGGCTGGTGCTGAGCACCTCTGCTATGAACACAGGCTGAGAGCTGGGCTTGTTCAACCTGCAGAAGAGAAAGTGTCAGGGACACCTTATAGCACCTTCCAGTCTCTAAGGGGGGCTACAAGAGAGCTGGAGAAGGACTTTACACAAGGGCAGGGAATGGCTTTAAACTGATAGAGGGTGGGTTTGGATTAGATAAAAGGAAGAAATTTTTGACTATTGGGGATGATGAGGAACAGGTTGCCCAGAGCAGCTGTGAATGCCCCATCACTTGAAATGCTCCAGGCCAGGCTGGATGGGGCTCTGAGTTCCCTGGTGCTCCTGAAGGTGTCCCTGCCCAGGGCACTTGGAACTGAATGATCTTTAAGATCCTTTCAAACTCAAACCATTCCATGGTTCTATAGTATCCCTATTTTCTCTTTTCTGATTTTGTTTTCTAAACAAAGCTGAGAGCTCATATGGTTGCGGCATTGCAGCCACAGCCTGACCATAGCGGTTTGGTGTCTTCTTGCTCATGGTGGTGTGGAATAAAGCACAGAAAGGTGCCTGGAAGCTCCAGCCACGGGGCTGGGCTGTGGGAACGAGGTATCCCAGCTACAGGAGCCGGGTGTGCCGGCTGAGGGAGCTGGGTATGCCGGCTACGGGAGCTGGGTATCCCGGCTGAGTGCTCTTTTCCTGCGGCTGAGGAGCCGCTGAGTGAGAGGGCTGCTGAACTGACATTACTGCTGGGGATTCTGCAGTGCACACGTTACGATGGGTAAAAAGCATTAAACCGAAAGTGAATGGTCTTATTCTGGCGTAATTGGTTGAAAAAGTCCCTGTGGGGATGGGTTTGCCTGAGGGGTGGCTGGCTGGGAGCGGAGCCGCGGGGCGATGGGAAGCAAAGGCACCGGGAAAGGCTTCAGCGACTCGAGGTGCGAAACTTCGCCTCGTAATCTCTCCCTGCCGGCACCTGTGCCCGAGGGCGGGAGACGGGCGAGCAGCGGAGGCGGGCGGGGTGCGGGTCCCGCCGTGAGGGCCGGCGGGGCTGCGGGGGCTGGCGGGGTGTGGGTCCGGCGGGGTGCGGTTCCCGCCGTGAGGGCCGGCGGGGTGCGGGTCTCGGCGTGGCTGAAGGGCCGCGGGTCTCGGCGGGGCTGCGGGTCTCGGCGTGGCTGCGGGTCTCGGCGTGGCTGAAGGGCTGCGGGTCTCGGCGTGGCTGCGGGTCTCGGCGTGGCTGCGGGGCTCGGCGGGGCCGCGGGGATCGGCGGGGCTGCGGGGCCCGGCGGCTCCGAGTGGGGACCCCCGCCCGCCCCCGCCCCGCGCCGCCCGCCGCCGCCGCGCGGTGGCGCCATCGGCCCGGAGAGCGCCTCAGTGCCCCCGGCGCGCACCGGGCACCCCCGCCCGGCCCCCCCGCTCCGCCCCGGGCAGGGCGGCGGCACCGGGGAGGGGGCGGCGGGCTCGCCCCGGGACGGGCCGGGCCGGGCCGGGCTGGGCCCGGGGGTGAGAGCTGCCGTCGGGGCGGGAGGAGGAGGAGGAGGGGCCCCGGCGGCGGTGGGCAGAGGCGCGCATGGAGCGGCCGGGGAGCAACGGGAGCTGCCCAGGCTGCCCAGGGCTGGAGGGGGGCCCGGCGGCGGGAGCCGCCACCGGCCTGGCGGCCGTGCTTATCTTCACCATCGTGGTGGACGTGCTGGGCAACGCGCTGGTCATCCTGTCTGTGCTGCGGAACAAGAAGCTCCGCAACGCCGGTGAGCGCGAGGCGGGCGCGGGGCGGGCGCGAGGGGCGGGCGGAGCGGAGCGGCCCCGGCGGAGCGGAGCGGAGCAGCCCCGCACCTCACCGCACCTCACCGCACCGCGCCCGGGCTCCGCCGGCCCGGCCCCGCACGGCCCCGCTGCTGGCGGGGCTGCAGCCCGCGGGCGGCGGCGGGAGCAGAACGGGAGTCCCGCACCGGGGCGGTGAGGGCACCTCCCCTGGGGAGCCCCGGGTCCGGTCTGCCCCGGCCGAGGACTCCGAGCTGCGCTGAGCCGGAGCAGTGCCCGCCCGTCGCTTCTCTCCGCTGGCCGGGCTGCCGCGGGGTTCTCGGCTCGCTCTCTGCCCGTCCCGTCCCGCTGCTGCTGCTGCTGTCCTCCGACTTTTCGAAACTTTTGTCCCCCAGAGGCAGCTGCAGACGGAGGAGCCAGCTCAGGTAAAACCCACGTCCCTTCAGCGACCCGCGCTGGGAGGAGCGGGGCAGAGGTGCAGGTGAGGACGACTCCGAGTGCCGCGTCAGGTGCTCAGCAAGAGTGCTCGGGTTTTTAAGACAAGTCCGTTACAACGTTGTACACTTGCTTTTGTGTTCCAGCCTTTCAGTGTTTTAGTATTTTTATTACAAACCTGCTATGCTGAAAGCAGAGTGTAGAATTTATGTGTTTTTTCCACGGGTAACTTGGAAGTCTGCTTTGTAGCCTTATGTACTGACCTCCCTAATGAATTCATCTGGGAAAATTGTTAAACTGATATTATTCAGTGTTTTTAAGAAGGCTGTATTATGCGAGGGTGTAAATTTCTTTCCTTCAAAGTCTTATTATTTTAGCAAAGAAATACTGGATATCAGTATTAACACAGAACTTATCCTGGATAAAAATTGCTATGTAAGGAGTTTCAAGTAATCTGTGTAGTGCTGCTTAAATTGTACCATAGAGTATGTTTTACTGAGGACTATGTCACTGTCTGCTTTTATAGAGAGACATAAAATGACCTTCAGTTTTATAGCTTGTAAAATAGCTTTAATGAAATATCTGTGGTGTTTATGATGTGCAAGTTGCAAGTATTTTGAGATGCTGATGTCTCACTGTCTCTCTCAGTCTCCTGTAAATAAGCAGTAACTCAACAAGGTTCAGTAAAAGTACTGGATGGATAAGGCTGAGAGGACAATTTCACTCCAGTGCCTCCAACATTTGATTGATTTATTAATGAAAGAAAGCACAGAAATGGCCATTGGCTTGGGCAGGCACTGGATGCAGTGACCCTGAATAGTGAGTGGCTTTTTAACTGGTACATAAAACGCTGTCCATAGCTACAGGCAGGCTGTACTGGGTTTATGAGAAACTGCAATATAGCTGGAAAAGCTCCTCTCTTCAGCTTTGCTTTAAAATGTGGGTGCAGCAAGCCTGTAATCAGTGGTTCTGAGGAAGGAAAGCACCCTACCCTTCTCCCAAGATAACTAGCTGTTTATGTTATCTGGCTGCAAGCAGATTTGAAGCTATTAGCGGCTTTTATTACCTTTCACATCGTTGATCACTTGAATGCATTTCATGTTTTAAGACTGCCTCCACTGTGAGTTGAGTTAAAGCTCCTGTGAAAGTGAAAAAGAACAGCTTTGAGTTGAAGTGATCACGGAGATATTTTCCAGAGCTTAGTCCTTGTCAGTAGCCTGTTGTCTGCTCTCTGTACGAGCTGTCGGCGTGTGGGAATAAAGTCAACACAAGTGCAAACAGTGCTAATCTTCCTGATCTGAGGGGACGTGGCTCTTGTTGCACACAGAACGTGAGTGTGACTAGTGGGGAATTCAGTGTGACAGACTTTGAAGCTGTGGTAAGTCCCAGGACCCATCCTGTTTTGTTCACCTGAGCACTGTTCCTCCTTCAGTCACAGCCTAAACTGGGAATGCCTGTGCTAAATCATGAAGGGGTTCAGCAGCAGGAGGATGAGGTGGTCAGGCCAGTGGTGGTGGTTTGATTCAGTAAAGTAAAATGTCTAACCTGCATCTAAGTGTTGTCATCTTGTGTTCCTAAAAAGATCATATGTGCTTAGGGTATTCAGACAGTCCTGCATCTCTCTGTGTTGGGAAGTAAGCAGTCTGTCAGCCTCCCTGGATGCAGGACAAAAAGTCAGGAATCTCAGCTCAGTTCATGCTCCTCCTGACATGTGAGCAGCCACGTGAATGAGAGGGGATCCAGCAGCCAGATTGAAGTCCTTTGGACAAAGAGTTTATCTGCTCGTGTGCAAATACAGCCTAAGCCAGTTCAATAAATGAAAAGGGCACCTGTGATGGCTGTGTCAGCTCTTGCCAAATCCTGGAAGGACCAGGTCTTCGTTTCTGGAGCAAGCTCACTCAAGGTCACCCAGCTGGAGCTAAAACTGTATTGTCAGGCTAAGCTGGGTTCAGGCTGGGATGTCTAACTGGCACTGCTTCAGGAGCTCTGATGGGTGGGCACTCTTGTGAGGTGGGGTTTTTGGTCTGTTATCCTGGATGCTTTTGAAGAACCTGTCCCTTGTCACTTCAGCACTGCCCACAGCTGCAATGGCACGTAGCCACAAGAGTGTGGCTGTTGGGCAGCATCTCACATCAGCATTTGCCTGGAACTGAACAAAGAGAAGGAGGTGGGTGGTGCCTGTGGGCAGAGGAAACTGGGATTCACTGAAAGCCCCAGGTGTCCTTTGTGGTAGACAGTTCACATCCACAGCTGGCTGTTCAGCCAGTCATGCTGGAGAATGTCTGGTGTTAGGCTTTCCCACATCCAGCTACTTGGACACTTGGAGATATTTGTGTGGTCAGAGAGGTTCAAAAAAAGCTCCAGGCTTTGGTCTGTATGTCCACAGTGCAGGGCAGTGACATGATTGAGGGTGAAGGGTGTGAGGAATAACCCTGCTCCTCTCACAGGAAAGATGTCTGTATGTCTTTATGGGAGGGGTGAAGTTTTTTGGCAGCTGAAAACTTTGACAAACCTGATCATCCTTCTATTGTTCTGGACACTGGGGGAGTTGGGAAGAACTTGCTCTTTCCAGAGAAATCACACTGCTTCTCTTTCCATCTGGGAAGGTGTAAGGTAAGTTGATGTGCCCAGTGTTGTTTCTGGGAGGTGCTCAGAGTGCTGAGCACAGATTAGGAGGACCCAAGTAAGAAACAATGATAGTGAGCTGTGTATAATGGGGCACGTGCGGGATCAGGACCAGCCAAGGGCTGCTGGCATGGCTGAGTTTACAGCTTTCCATTCTGCCTCTGGCCAGCTTTACAAGTGTGAAAATCAGCTCTAAAACCAGCCAGTATTTTTCAATGAGCTAGCCTGCTCCCTAGGCAGAGGCTCTGGCAATACCCTCCTCTAGTTCTTCTGAACTCAGTGCAAACTCAGGCACGCAGCCCAAACATGCATTCCCTGGAAACCCATGTCTCCCAGCAGTGCTGCCTGGAGCTTTGTGTGCAGAGAGCAATTTCTGCTGCCTCACAGGACCTTTATGCTCTTGGGAATGTAATTTCTAGGGATCCAAAACCTCTCTAGGGGCAGGCAGAGCAGGTACAACTCTAATGAGGTCATTGGGCTCAACTGGCTTTTAATCCTTTGGATATACACTATACAGGGCTGTTTGCATAGCGAGGGGATTTTGTTCTTGAACTGTCACCCCAGCCAAAGTCGGGCGTCACGCAGAAGTCTGTATGTATTATGTCAACAGTTACCTTTGTCAGCCAAATGCAAACTCTCAGAAGAAATCCTAGATCTGTTTGACAAGCCCTCCAGCCAGAAAACTGTGTTGACTAACAGGAGTTGTGTTTCCATCCCTGAGCACGGGCAGGGAGACCAGCCTGCACTGCCCGGGTCAGCCGTTTGCCCTCTGGAAATACTGGCACTGGGCTAAGTTTTTGTTTGCTTGAGCAGGGCTTTTTATTTATTATCCCAAGACCTCTGGAACTTCCTGGCTGGCCTGGGACAGGCTTCTGGTTTGTTTTTTTTTTGAAGTCAATGTTAGGAATTTGGGTGAGCTCCTTCAGAGGCTCTGAGTCCAGGTTTTCCCGTTACAGATGTGAGGATGGTTAGCAGATGGTGTTGGGGATCTTCCCAACTTGCTTCTCAGAGACTTTTGCTATAGCTGAGATTTAAGTCATCCTTATTTGCAAAGATAAAAAGTAATACTTATACTTTCTGTATCATCTATATCAGGATACTTTCACTGTACTTTTTTAGCATCAAGCCTAATGTATTGATAGATGGTTGCTTTTTTCCTGATAGAACTATTGCCTCTAGGTTTTTTTTTAATATCTTTTAGCTTTCTTTATAAAATTGTATTGAATTGTATGAAATTTGCTCTAGTTTTATAGTAGATTTAATTTTTTTTTACTTTTTTTTTAAATTTGGCTCTTGTCTTAATTTCTATTTTAAACCAAATAATTTCTAAAAAAGATACTGTTGCTTTTCTTGGTGGGAAAGAGGGCTCTACTGAGGCATCTTTAAACATCCTCCAATAAGCATTGTCACACTTACTTATATTTAGATGTTTTCTCTCAGTTATTTTTGTGTCTGGTTCTTTCTAGTTTTGTGAAACTGACCTTTAGGAGATGTTGTTTTGGACCATGTTCTGTTTCCTTACCTCAGATGTAGTTGGGAACTGTGATTGGTTTTCTTCCAGCTACTGCAGGATTTCCTTGTCCTAGAAAGCTATCTATTATATGTAGGTGTTGAGATTTATTTTTTTAAATTTTTTTTAGCACCACAAACCCTCCAGCATCTGCCACAAGCCTGAAATTACATTTCTTCTTGCTGTACATTGTGGGTAGATGCTTCAGGAGCTGCTCATCTGTTGCACTGATTCACTTGTCTACAGCAAACTCCTACCAGTGCTGCTGGTGCACCCAGCCCGTGGCCCCTGAAGGGAGGGGGGCCCTGCTGCAGGTGGCTGGGCTTTAGGGGGGCTCTGCTGAGGGGAGCAGGCTGTGTGTTGGTTAAACGGTGAGAAGGTTGCTGGGTCTCCCCTTCCCCGCCTGCCGAGTCCTGG